TGTTAATGGCCTAGAAAAATCCAGACAAATTAGAAAATGTATTACACAAATTAAAGATACCAAGGGAAAGATACAAAAAACAGGGAGTTCTCAGAGCCACGAAACAATTCTACGATTCTTTATACACAGCGACGGAACCTGACACAGAAAAGTTAACATATTATATAAATAACACTCATGTACATAAAACACTAACAGAAGATCATAAAGAGACATGACTGTGGTGGTAAAATCACAGTACACGAATGTAAAAATGCTTTAGATAACATGAAGATGAATAAAAGCCCCGGCCTGGATGGTCTAAGTGTCGAATTTTATAGAATTTTTTTGGGAAGAAGTCGGTGACATGCTTGTTAATGCTCTTAATGAAAGTTATGAGTTTGAAGAAATGTGCTCTTCACAGAAACAAGGGGTTTTGTCACTTATATTTAAAAAGGGTGATCCGTTATCTTTAGGAAACTGGAGACCCATTACCTTTCTAAACGTAGATTATAAAAGTGTTGCTAAGGTGCTGGCTCAAAGGCTGAAATCTGTTCTTTCTTATCTAATACAAACAGACCAATCAGGGTATATCAAAAATAGATATATTGGGCTTAACATAAGACAGATACAAGACATCATAGACTACACTGACGAAATTAAAATAGATGGTGCTATTTTTATTCTTAGACTTTCCCGAAGCTTTTGATTCACTTGAATGGCCATTTATGCTTAAATCATTAGATAAGTCATTTATAACGTGGGTTAAAACATTATATAAAAATATATCAGCACGTGTGGCTAACAATGGATAGTTGTCGGAAAAAATCAAAATAACTCGTGGAATTAGGCAGGGATGCCCACTATCCGCTCTATTGTTTGTAATTGCTGTTGAAATAACGGCAATTAGAACTAGAAAAGAAAAAATCTGACTGGTATTCCAATTCGACTGAAATCAGGAGTAAAATATAAAATAATCAGACGACACATCTTTATTTTTAAAATCGAAATACGATATAAAGCTCGCGCTTAATCTGATCGATCAGTACGGGAAGTATTCAGGTCTGAAACTTAACAAAGAAAAAACGGAGGGAAGTTGGCTAGGCAAGTTGAAAAACTATACAGAGGCAGTGGAAGGTGTGAAACGGTCACCTAAACCAGTTAAAGTTTTGGGTACGTATTTTGGCCATAGCAAAAAAGAATGTGAATCTCTCAATTTGGATAAAACTCTAGATGATGTAACTAAAACTATAGCACAGTGGTGAAAAAGAAAGCTAACAATACTTGGTAGGGTGCTTGTCGTGAAAACCCTAATTATACCAAAAATTATTTTCAAGGCAGCAAATATAACTACACCAGATGACATACAGAAAATGATGAATAAAATAATATTCAGATTCATTTGGAATGAAGGAAGCGAAAAAATAAAGAGTACAGACCTGTATAGGACATTACAACAAGGAGGTTTAAACATAACTGAAAAATAAATTGTGTAAAAAGGCTGTTAAACTCGGAGGAAGCGGCTTGGAAGTTTATACCAACCCTTTATTACGAAAAATTTGGTAGTGATTTTTTGTTGTTTAAAATGAATATTGACAGTATAGCATCTTTAAGAAGTATAAAAATACTTCCTAGATTCTACAAAGACATTCTAGTACCATAGCTAAAAACACGTCAATCTGAAAATAGTTCCCCGACAGATTTTCACATAATAAGACAACCAATTGTATGGGGAAATCGTTTTATTAAATACAAAGGTAAATGTTTGGTTTATGAAAACTGGATTAAAAGTGGAATAATCATTATAGAAGATATCCTGGGACCAGATATGCGAATTTCACAAGATAAAATTTTAGCCAAACTGATTTCGAAATCGAATTGGAGTTCCGAAATAAGCAGGTTAAAAGTAGCCATTCCAGAAAGGTGGGTGAAAACGATTCAATCCAAACGATCCAAATAATCGGTTGTAAGTTATACAGGAAAACAGTATGTATACACAAAAATACATAAAAAGATAACACTAGAACAGGCCACAAACAAAGCACTATACAAGCTACTACTTGAATACAAACACACCAACCCACTTACATTTACAAAGCTTAATAATTTATTTGGAGCTGAGAATGATGAAATAAATAATGCGCTTCTGTTCATCTCAAATATCAAAGGAAACAAATTGAAAGAATTTAGATGGAAACTCATCCATATGATTTGTCCATGCACAACTTCACTATTTAAATGGAAACTAGTAGCTACAGCTAAGTGTAACTACTGTAATGATGATGAAAATCATGAGCACTACTTCATTTCGTGCAATTATGTCAAGATGTTCTGGACAAACATTTCAAATCTGATGATAGAACTTCGTTTCGCTAACAAGAATGTTATAACATTGAAGTCGTTAATCATGGGGTATAAGCCATATGCAAAAGATTACTTTTTCATTTACTATATACTGACATTAATTGGTTACAGTATATACAAATGCTATTACATAAGTGAGCAAAAAACAAAACAAGTAGATGTGATCTACCGTTTTGATGTGCTACCCGTTTTAAGAGAAAACAAGAAAATGTGGGGTAAATTAAAACAAATATTAGAGAGTAAACCACGAAGGAAATTATATGTCTCAATAACAATTATCAATATGTATGTATGTATGTATGTATGTGTGTGTGTGTGTGTGTGTGTAGGTAGGTAGGTAGGTAGGCAGGCAGGCAGGCAGGCAGGCAGGCATGCATGTATGTATGTATGTATGTATGTATGTGCGTACGTATGTATGTATGTATGCATAAATGAATGTACAAACGAACAAATGAAATATAAAGAAATGAATGTACAAACGAACGAATGAAGTATAAAGAATGACGAATGAAAGCCCTCTTGTATGAGGACAAATATGTGTAAGGTTTACTGAACCCAGAGCCCCAACTCTGACAGTAATCCTTTACCAAAAAACTGGAAAATAAATGTTATAGTAAAAAAAACACCAAAAAAAACACATCCCAGGTATATATTTTTCTTCAGTATAATGCATTATGTCATAAAAAGCCTAGTATTTTCACCTATATATCTATCTACCTATCAAAAATCCAGTCTGATCTGTGTTGATAAGTTTTTGCAATACTGTTTTTATCCTACGTGCCATTGTTCCTGAAGCTATTTTATAAACTATATTTAAAAGAGATATAGGACGCCAGTTTTTGATGAAGTGTCTAGGTTTATTATCTTTTGGAATGCAAGTAATGATACCCTGTCTTTGAACAATGGAAAGTTGATCTATTTCATAACCAAAATTTGTAGATCTAACTACAAAATCACCAAGTTTTCTCAAAAAACATTTAAAAAATTCAGTAGTGAAACCATCAGACCCTGGGCTTTTATTATGTTTCATATTTTTCATTGTCAAAGAGGCTTCTACAGAAGACATTTTTATATCGATAAACACTGTTTGCAATGAAACGCAAATCCTGTAATGCAATGAACTTCCAATTTTCACCAATTATAAACAAAATAAAATGACAAATAGCTTACCATCAACCAAAACAGATATAAGACTGCACAAAAAAAAACCACCAAAACATCTATATATAACTAAATAAATAAAATAAATAATTTATAAAAGTACACGAATTCGGTCAAGTTGACATATATTGAAAAATAAATAAAAAATGTGAAATTTTTAAAAATTTGTTTTTATAATTAATTGTATTCGAGTTATCTTTCTTTGAACACTAAATCAAAATAGACACACGGAAACATATGACGGTTACTTCCGACGGGAGAAATTTGTTAAAAAATGTTTGTTCTGATTTTTTTTTTAAATACAGTTTTATGTTGCTAGTTTTTGTTTCTATTTATACCGATATGAGTACAAAATAGCGACTGTTTCTTAAGTGCCCGGAAACCGATAACACGACGATATTTTTTGCCGTTCTGGCCTTCTTCAAGGGCAAAAGTTCACGATGAATTTAGCTTACGTCCAATTTACTTGTTTCGAGTTGTAGAGTTTATATCATATTGGTAAATGCAAAAAGGTCTCAAACGTTTCACAGAGCTTTACCACTGTTTCATCATCCAAGTGTGGGGACACTAGGGTGAGGGTATCCAAAATGAAACACTTTTGATGTAGTTTCTATTTATGACGCAGCATAAAGTTTCATTTTGCAATATATATGTATTCTCAATCAAATCATTTCATAGTTTTATGCATTTTGAGCAAATAGCATCTCTTAATCTTTGCTCAGAAAAACTCAATTGAAATATAAAAAAAATGAAATGAAAAAAAATGCCGGGAAAGAGTACGATGCGAAAACATTAACTTGATTTAAGTTCTAGATCTATTGCCTATTGGAAAACTACTATGTTTAAACGGATATCTTAGGGAATAAATTAATAAAGTTTGTCAGAAAGGGTCGAAACGTTTTTGAAATTAAAGCAAACATTTAAATACAGTAAGTTATTTTCATAAAACTGACTTATATATGGTGAATATTGTTCCATTTTGGGTACACGACCAGCTAAAAATTCCAAGTGAATCTGACGCACTTTAATGAGCTCTCTCTATATATAGTTACACATGCTGTTGATACCAACGAAATACATAAGAAGCCAAAGGCATGTGGTGTTTCATTACAGTTAATAAAAGGTCTTTCAGAAACTTTACATGAAATATCAATAGTTTTCTTTAAAAAGGGTTCAATTTTGGGTAACAGGCCTACCCTCACTAGCTCCACGGACTTAGATAACTAATCTAACTCCGTGCTAGCTCCTATGACAGTCCATATCCTGCACAATAATTCACTTCTTCTAGAAAAAAACTTCATAGTTTTAAAGTACCCATTTTGTTTTGTATTCAATTTAATTAAGTTTAGGCCTAACAGTTATATTGAAATCATATTAATGCACGAGCTATCGATAAATGCTTCAAATTTGTTTGTGTTCGTCTATAAAATCTATGGCGGTGAGTCGTATAATATCGTTGTCAGATATGCGTTTGAATAACATGTAGAATCAAATGAAGCGTCTAGGAAACGCTGGATTTTGAAGCGTATTTGAAACGCATTGTATGCGCCATTTTTGGAAAATTTACATGGTCAACCAATCCATGTAATCATGAATTTAGTGAGGTATGAATGCACGATTGCAACAATTTAACATCAAATCTAATGTTTGATTAATATCATCAGATGCTTATTTTATATGATACATGTTTTATTAAGCTGTAAACGTAATTTGTATGGAGCCGGTATACGGTTGTTTACATTTTTGTGCCAAATACAATGGGTCAGTTTTCATATTATAAATGTGTTAACTCCAACGTTGTTCTGGTAAATGCTCGTCAATTGTAACATGATGAAGTGTGTTTCTGTCATGGGAACAACTTTATTTCTGGCATTTGTTCTGGACTTGTACTGTCGAGGCTAGGCATACTCTGCTTGGAATAATTTACTTTGCCTATCGAGTCGGTAACGCTATCGTCTCCTCGACGTTTTTCGAGTGCTACTATTGACGTACATGTATAGCCAGTCTAAGTGTGTCGAATTAAAAGCGATTTAATATGTTCTGTACTGGAACCGAAGTGATTGTTAATTGTTAAATAATATTTATATTTGTATCAAGGGTTGAAGGGGAGGTAACCTGTTACTTAAATTTCAGGAAACAATAAGTTTGCCTTACACAAACTAACGAAGAAAATACTGCAGATGAATACGTTTGCCAGTATTACCGGTGAACATTGTCTGCTAAAACTGACGAGTCTGAATTATACAGCCTACGATTATAGTCAGTTTTAGCTGAATAAAACTTGCAGTGTCGGTAAATAATTGTTGCATGTTTTCAAATCTTGTAACGTTAATGGCGATAGATGTGTAACTAGGTTGGGTGGACGGCTGGCACTGTGTATATGGTAATGTACTCGCTTTTCACCAATATATGGATGGGATTTGATTTCCTAATCAGAAGTGAAAAGGTTTGTGGTCCCTAGCTGTCCAACCGTGCCCACATCCTGGCCAACAAGCATGATTCATATAAGTTGAAATAACTTGTTTCATAATTGTTGTAAAATAAATTAAGTTATGTAGTTATGATGTAAACAACAAGTGTTAAAAACAGGGTTCAGTATGTTTAAAAGGTGTTTTTCTCTTATCTTTTCAGATTTTTGATGAAACTCAGTCATGAAACAGTGACGATAGAGCTGAAAAATGGAACACAAGTCCATGGGACGATAACAGGCAGGTTCATTCTGTAGCTACAGCTAGTGGTTTTAACTTAAATTAGCAGGGTTGCCAACCTCTTAGGAGTCCAGTGTGGGAGATCTCCCTTCACTGGGTTTTCTTATGTGTCAGACTTTTTACAGCGTCGCGGCAAAACATCGTTTTGGGTGTAAGATAACATTTACAAATATATCAAACAAATCCTGGCTTCCTCTGACTATAACACTGCATTGTTGATCTTTTCACTTCAAGATCTTTGTAGGAAATAAAACAAAAAAACTTGCAGATATATAAAAGATTTATATTTATCACACACAAAAAAATGACATAAGAAATGCAACACATTATATAATTAAAGACCTTTCTTGTAACGATTCCACCCTTAGCTAGAACAGGTACCAGTCTTTTTTTTCTGTTTTTCCATGACCTGTTAAAAAAAATAACAGTTCATATCAAAAGTAAGAACTTTACCATAGTAGTAACATGAAAAAGTTCATTAACATGAAAGGTAAAAAAATATGTTAATTTGACAGTGAACAAATATTTTCCGTTCACTTCTGGCTACTATCCTAAGCAACAAATGGACCCTTATCATTTATACCACGTTTGCAATCCGATTCAATTGATCTGTTGCATGATTATGTATACCTACGTACTATATATGTCTATCCAACATGCCAAAGCACTTCCCGAAACTCGTTATTTCGTCATCACATCAGATTAAAATTGTTTATTCCTACAAGTCTCTGGTGTGTTAAATCATATACGCCAATTTACTGCAAAAAATAACTTTGCACTTTTCATCGGCCATTAGCAACCGTCTGTTCGTGTTTCAAGAATCATTTTCTCTTGATATTTCTGAAGGCCCGACCTGACAACAATCTTCCCTAATAAAAAACATATTGTTAGTAAAACTTTCTTTTTCTGTACGGTAAGTATGTTCAATATTAAAGTTTATGAGTGAAAACAACTCGCCTTAAGATATATTTACATTAATTTGTTTCCACTGGATGTAAAGCGACACCTCGCGTCAGCTCACTTCCAAAGCACAACGTTGCAATAAGAGTTATTCCCCTTTGTACGGTCCAAGCTAAAAAATGCCGATTTATGGCTTCGCGTGGGATGGAGGGAGAATATTTTCGAATGCGTGAGATTTATGGCTCACGTGGCGTGAGACATGTTTTAGCATGAGTAAGGTCGTCTCAGCGTGACGAATGCGTGTGATTTTGTCTCGCGCCGTTTAGTGTCAGTGTGCCCAAGTCCAAACTATTTTGACAGATGAATGCCCTAGCCTGTTGCAATTGACACCAATATGCATCAATAACCAAACCAAACACTTTTTTCAGTTTTTAACTTTTTTAGTGAGCAATTTCCTATAAATCCATGTTCAATTTTGTCTTTGTAATTGCATTGGCAGACCATTACTATGATTTTGCCTTATAAATTTGTTAAATAAAACATGCGAAAAATAAAGATTTTATTTAACTTGAGAGAGAAATCTGCATTGAAATGCTATCAATTTCACATGGAGAGCAGTTGATTGTATCTTCCCTTTTTAATATCTCAAAAGTATTCGGATGAAGTCTATGAGGTTGTTTTGAGAGGAATGTCTGATTTGTGAAAGCATTTAAATGTGGTAGAAATGAATATAGTTAATAGCACAGTTTTTGTTACCTATATTTTACAACAGTCTGTTTCTACAAGAATTGGGGAAAATATAGCATTATTTGTTTTGAAATTGGGAATATATTCCTCATTTTTTGGTAAATTTGGGAAAATAAGGTACTTTTTAAAGCTAAGGGAAACCGCCTGTATTAACCCCTTCACCCCTATGTAACTTTAGTAGACTCTTTCATGTATTGATATGGATGAGTTCATTATGGTCTACAGTGGTGAAAAGGTTAAGCAGTAAAACTGAGCAAAAAAAACACCACTAAACAGAATTTATAGAATTTCAATAATCATCTGCGTCACTTCTAAACTCTATTGGTGTTGTTTTTCAATGCTCATTACAGATGCAAGGAGGCAGTGCCCAAATCGGATCACTTTTTGAAAAAATACTTCAAATAAATGTGTCAAAAATACAGTTATATCAATGATTAATAATAAGCCTTAGAAAAGATAGTCATGCACCATTTTTTGTCTACAGATGATTAGTTTTTAAGTTCAAATAGCACCAGAAACGTAATTCAAACCCAAATGTCAGTGTTTTGATTACGTTTTTAAAAAAATGTTGCGCGACTATGCAATCTGTTTTGGATTAATTATATATATATATAAAGGAACAAATTCACACTTTAGAAATACTTTTTGTCTAAAGTTCATCATAAAATGTTAATATACTGTCAAAAAATATTCATTTGAAGTGGAAGATACTGCAAAATTTAAGCCTTAATCTAATTTGGGAGCTGACATTCGCAAAAAAAATGGAAACGCTGATTGGTGACTTCACAGCATACTATAAATATCTCAAGTGTGCCCCGGATGCTAATTTCATTAATAAGAACTCCCATTGTTAATTTTCCTTTGATCATGATACAACCATAAATTAATATAATTCCTCCCAAGAGTTTTCAATGAACGAATAAAATGATGGTTTGGTGATCTGATTTGGGTTTTGTCACCTTACATGTTCTTCAAAACTTAACAAAAAAAGCCAATTTTGTTAAAAGTGTGACTGCATCTGAAGTACAATAATCTTTATATAGATCAGAATATATATAAATTACATTTGTAGATGGTTATAATTGATGCTAATCTTTGTACTTCTGACTTTCAGGAGTGGACATCAGTATGAACACACATTTGAAGGCAGTTAAAATGACGTTGAAGAACAAAGACCCTGTACAGATTGACTCTCTGAGTATCCGTGGAAACAATGTGCGTTACTTCATCCTCCCCGACAGCCTCCCATTAGACACACTTCTCATTGACGACACACCCAAGACAAAGGCAAAGAAAAGCAGGGATGCAGGTAAGAAATTGAAACATTTTAATGGGCAACAAGTTTGAATATTTGTGAATATTTGACTGGTATCCAATAACGTTGTTAAACTTTGAATCGTTGAACCAATAAAATTTAAATAATGTCTTGAAAGGTTCATAATTCTGTCAGTGAATTGTAATCTTCAGTGGTATCGAATTGAATTCAGTTTTTTTTGTACATGAAATATTTATTTCTTCTTTTTCACTCATTTGTATACACCATATTTTTTTCAACAATTTGTGGTAATTGGAGGAAAATGAGTGATTTTCATATTTTTTTATAGAAATCAGTTTGATTATTACTGCTCTATTTTTATCGATCTTGTTTCACCTTTACATGAAAGATATTGTGGTACTGCAAAAATAACACTCCCGTGATATTACACTGTATACGTGGTGGTACCTGAAAGGCGAGCGAGTGTCAGTAAAACAGGAATAAAATGTCAGTCTGTTGTTGTAGCTGGTATGAGCCGCGGCCGTGGTCGTGGACGTGGAGGTGGCCGTGGAAGTCGAGGCAGCAGTGGCCGTGGAGGCAGGGGGCGTGGTCGCAGGTAGACGACGGCATTCCATCTGTGTTGTTCTGGTTCGAGAGTGACATCAGTCCATTGCAATATGTGTTGTACATGTTCTATGTGGAGGTGGACAGACTAGTGACAAGACTTTTGAAATCTCCACAGGAAACAGTTTAGACACCAGCTGTTGAGGTGCTACTACTCGGATAAAGTTTGACATTCTTGCATTGCTAGTAAGTTGCTGGGCCATATGCTGAATATTGGATTTTTTTCAAGGCTTTAGAGTAATAGAAATCCTTGTATAATAATCCTGTTTCTGATTATTTTTCAAAATTTATATCTCGTAGATAATGGGGGGGGGGGGGACCATTTTATATACTTCAAATTATCTGAGAAAAATGGAACTCAACTGTTAAACAGCATATAGGCTATTTGTGGATTCAAGTGGTGTTGGATTATCAAGAGAATGGAAGTGATTTTGGAGACAATCCAGAACCCATGAAAAGCAAACCATCAGTTACCTTTGATCAAAACTCACCTGGAAGGATTACGAGCTGATGGACGAGTTACATATAATTACAAGTAGGTGTGACGTAGACTTCAAAAGTCGGAGCGACAGTACAGATGATAAACAGAATCACTTTTTACTACACATAATACTACATACATCATGTTTTCAGTACATCCTCATCTCATGTCATTGTTTCATGATAATAAATCATACAAATTTAAAAGTCAATTTCGTTTTGAGTTTTCAATTCCTTTACTACCGGTAGTACATGTACTCCATTCTTAGCGAGAACACTCTTGTATATATATATATGTCAAATTACAAGAACTCTAAAATTCATTGTGTACGAGTGACAGGAGACAAAGCAGAAACTGACAATATTATTCTATTCAATAAAGACAGCAGTACGTACATGTACATCACTGTCAAAAAGTCGTCATTTGTATACCTTGATGAATCCCTTTTCAAATATATTTTTCTGTGCAGATTTGTAGAAAGAGTAGATATGCTGAATCTCGTAGTCACTGCATGCTGTATGTACAAGACGGCTATTGTGGGTCCCCAATAGAATTTCAGGTTTTCTTTGGTGTCTATATATAGCTATTACGCTACTTGGAGAAAATTGAAGAGACCAACATTTATCTGTAGTCAATATTGTATCACAAAACTTGGTATCTGTTTTTCTTTTCTCTTTCCTACTGTTTTTCGCTAGTGTCTCCCACGACTTTATAAATGTATGGTGAGGATATTAAACCCCAAACAAAACCACTTACTGGTGATTGTACAAAACCATATATACAGACAGTTACACTGTAGTATAAAATATTAAAAACAACTCCACAGATTACACAAAAATAACATTTTATTGATTTGATTTCAATGTACATTTTACAACTTTTGTGTAACGCATTGCCTCTCTAGCTATTTTCCAGTGTACCACGTGCACATATACAATATCAAAATATGGATGTACAAACTGAAGTTTGACCCCTCTTTTAAGATTTACATTTGGTATTGCCTTAGCTTATTTACTTCAGGTATTTTCCTTCCAATAATTGAGGCCAAAATTTGTGTTCAAAGTGAAAACATTTCCAAAATCTTCAACTGCAAAACGATTGATGTATATTTAATTTAGATCACATTTATTTTTGATTGCAACAACATTTTTAACAAGAGGCCCAATGGGTCTGAATCGCTCACCTGGTATTAATCTCGCAAATAATCTTTAAAGTGGACTAAAATACAGCTACAGGCAGAATATCTTTGACTCATAAGAACCTATTAAAAAACTGAAACATATGACGCCTGTGACCTTGAATGTCGAACAAGGACATAAGGTTGAACAGAGTGTATAGTCGTCCAACCAAGCATGCTTCTGGAAAAATATCATTACCCTGGACCTTTTGGTTATACAGAACAAGTCATTTAAAGATTTAAACATATATTGACCACTGTGACCTTGCATATGGGTGAAGGTCATTCATTTAAAAAAAACTGGTAGTCCTTAATCCCAGCAGGTTAATGGCCAAATATCATCACCCTTAGCCTTTTGCTTATTGAGAAGAGGTCTTTTAAAGGTTTTAAACATATTTGACCCCTGTGACCTTTGAAATGGGAGGTCATTTGTTTGAACAAATTTGGTAGCCCTTCATCCCAGGATGTTACTGGCCAAATATCATCACCCTTAGCCTTTTGCTTATTGAGAAGAGGTCTTTTAAAGGTTTTAAACATATTTGACCCCTGTGACCTTGGAAATGGGATAATGTCATTTGTTTGAACAAACTTGGTAGCCCTTCATCCAAGCATGTTACTGGCCAAATATCATCACCCTTAGCCTTTAAGTTACTGAGAAGAAGTTGGTGAAAGGTATTTAACATATTTGACCCCTGTGACCTTGGATATGAGCGCAGCTCCTTCATTTGAACATATTTGGTAGCCCTTCATCCCAGCATGCTAAAGGCCAAATATCATCACCCTAGGCCTCTTGGTTCTTTAGAAGAAGTCGTTCAAAGGTTTTAACATATTTGACCCCTGTGACCTTGGTTATGAGCGAAGCTCATTCATTTGAACATATTTGGTAGCCCTTCATCCCAGCATGTTACTGGCCAAACAACATTATCCTTTCCCTCTTGGGTATTCAGAAGAAGTCGTTCGTAGATTTTAACATATTTGACCCCTGCGACCTTGGATATGAGCGAAGCTCATTCATTTGAACATATTTGGTAGCCCTTCATCCCAGCTTGTTACTGGCCAAATATCATCACCCTGGGCCTCTTGGTTCTTTCCAAGAAGTCGTTCAAAGATTTTAACATATATGACCCCTGTGACCTTGAAAATGGGCGAAGGTCATTTGTTTGAACACACTTGGTAGCCCTTGATTTCAGGATGCTACTGGCCAAATATCATCATCCAAGGCTGTTTGGTTATTCAGAAGAAGTTGTTTTAAAGGTTTTAAACATATTTGACCCCTGTGACCTTGAAAGTGGATGAAGGTCATTCATTTGAACAAACTTGGTAGCGCTTGATTCCAGGATGCAACTGGCCAAATATCATCATCCAAGGCTGTTTGGTTATTGAGAAGAAGTTGTTTTAAAGGTTTTAAACATATTTGACCCCTGTGACCTTTGAAATGGGAGGTCATTTGTTTGAACAAATTTGGTAGCCCGTCATCCCAGCATGTTACTGGCCAAACAACATTATCCTTTCCCTCTTGGGTATTCAGAAGAAGTCGTTCGTAGATTTTAACATATTTGACCCCTGTGACCTTGAAAATAGATGAAGGTCATTCATTTGAACAAACTTGGTAGCCCTTTATCCCAGCATGTTACTGGCCAAATATCATCTCCCTAGGCCTCTTGGTTCTTTAGAAGAAGTCGTTCAAAGGTTTTAACATATTTGACCCCTGTGCCCTTGAAAATGGATGAAGGTCATTCGTTTGAACAAACTTGGTAGCCCTTGATTAAAGGATGCAACTGGCCAAATATCATCATCCAAGGCTGTTTGGTTATTCAGAAGAAGTTGTTTTAAAGGTTTTAAACATATTTGACCCCTGTGACCTTTGAAATGGGAGGTCATTTGTTTGAACAAATTTGGTAGCCCTTCATCCCAGCATGTTACTGGCCAAATATCATCACCCTAGGCCTCTTGGTTCTTTAGAAGAAGTCGTTCAAAGATTTTAACATATTTGACCCCTGTGACCTTGAAAATGGATGAAGGTCATTCATTTGAACACACTTGGTAGCCCTTGATTTCAGGATGCTACTGGCCAAATATCGCCATCCTAGGCCGTTTGGTTACTGAAAAGAAGTTGTTTTAAGTAAAAAGTTGACGCCGGACAGACGGACGCCGGACGCCGCACCATGGCGTTATAAGCTCAATTGCCCTTTGGGCAGGTGAGCTAAAAATGAAGTAATGAAAAGAAATGGATTTAGAAGATTTGATATGCTGTCAATTTTTCACAACTTTATGAAAGGGACAACTAATAACAAGAAAATCCCTTAATTTATGAGCATAAATCAATAACCAGAAAAAGACCTAAATTATGTGCGTATTAACAAATAAACTGTAGACATTAATTATAAATGTACGAAGTATTTTTGGCAGCAGTATTTTATAGCAAGACTAATCTGAATTCAAGATGCACATTTATGGCAGACATTTATATAAAATAAAATGCAAATCTAGAAATTCTGGTGCTGAAAATTTAACAGTACATTTTGTTAACCCGGACATTAATGTGGACATAGCACTAAAAAATAAACACAAGCTGTCTATATCTGATATGTAATTTTCGTTAACATAACTTTTAAGGTGTTTTCAAAACTGATTGACAATATTGAGGAATGTCTTGCAGTCCACTGATGTGCCGAGTTTAAAAAAAAAATCTTAAAAAATCTATAAATGAAACGTATCATCACTGGCGTCAGTACTTGTTAAATGGATAATAGATACATATATCTACACCTCATATGTTGATACAGAAACACAGCTTAGTACAATAAACTGTAATTATACATGCTCTGTCAGATTTAAATATAGTCAAACCCCCATAATAGATATTGTATTTATATGGACAACACAAACTTACAAAACGACACATTAACAGATCCAGAAATATTACATTTACAGGATACAATCGGCTACAAACTGACAACAAACCATGATCATCTGACAATGCCCAAGTTTGTTAGTGTACATGAGATGTCGGTCAATATATAAGACTAGAACGATCATTAACAACTTGTGTTAGTTAAAATGCTACCTTTAGTCTTTCACCTCTTAAGTCACATTTGAACCTTATATTACCAAACCAAAGACTGGGCAAGTCCAGTTTACAATTGTAAGGGCGAATGAGTCGAGTCAATACACTGAATCCACTGGTCAGTAAAACAACAATATTATATCTAAAGAAGACAATAAGAAACAAGAGTACCGCAGGGCGGAACAAAAAAATGCCTGTCGATTGTTATACTATCTTACATTGAAATAAGATCTGCATCATTCAAAGAGTGGTTAGCTGACATGCGATAAAAATGTAGGAGAAAATCTCCAGATAAAAAAAGCAAATACTGAAATGAATAAAGGGCAATAACTTTTGCAAAAATCGTCGAATCAAAATTCTTTTAAGGGAGACGCAACTTCATATCATGATTATTTAGCCTACTAAGTTTCAAAGAGATCCGTTGAAAAATGTAGGAGGAGATTGCCGGACAAAAATCAAATACTGAAATGAACAAAAGGCAATAACTATTGGAAAAATTGTTGAATCAAAATTCTTTTAAGGGAGACACAACTTCATATAATGATTATAATGTATGCAAGTTTCAAAGAGATCACTCGATAATGTAGGAGGAGATTGCCGGACAAACAAAAGTTTACGCCGGCCGGACAACGCCATACCATAATATTCCCGTCAAATTGGACGGGCGTATAAAACTCAATCAAATGATGAAAGTTCATTTATCAAGCAAACTATTGGCAACTCAATGTTTTTTTTCAGGCTCTGTTATCTGTCACTGCAAATTTAAGAGCTTCCTGGAGGGCAGGGGGTTTGCCCCCAGACCCAGGGGTTTGGGGCTTAACCCCTTCACCCCATTTTAATTGACACAACCCACCCCAGCCCCACTTAATGCCGTTAGGCTGTGACGATGGATTGTCATCAATATCCCCCGCAGTTTTAAGCAAGTCATGATTAAAATGTGCAAATGACTTAGTAGCAATATATAATCTATTCAAATGTAATATTAAATGGTATGGAGTGCTACAAATCGGTCTGCTATATTCCTATAGATATATTATACCAACAGTAATTCAAACCGACGTATAAAGCAATTCTGCAAACATGAAACATACTCATAATACCTAAAATCATGACAAAACATGTTTTGTTTACAACCTCAAACATTTTAAAGCATTTTATACCATTTCGTAACCAATCCACTGAAATTTAAAATGCAGTCAAATATAGCATTTGCAACATGACTGTTAAGCGACCCTTTCTGCAATTAGTAACAATCTTGTACATGTACCTATAGTGACCCAGATATATGATATATTCGCTAAAGGACATATGTAGGTCAAATTCAGTGATCGTAACATTCTTTCAATTATATTAAATAGTGCCACAGCACTATTAAAATGAGGCCCAAGACAGGATACTTGTAAACTATATTGAAATAAAAACGAAATTAAACTAATGTGATGCGAAAATTTATTTCAACCAGCTGTAACCTGAGGAAAATGGGGTATCATCTCAGCTTCGGCTAATATTCTGTAAATGCTAGTGTCTAGGTTGGGAAAATTAAGTTACAGAATTTTGGTGCTCCACTGAAATAAGTCGATCTCATCCGTTATATTACAGGTTCAAGATTTTATCAAACCCCACACGGCTTCAACTATTGTTGATTGTGTTATGTTATAGAAGTTCATGTACATTGCCTAAATCTCTTAAAAGAACATATTCAAAAGTATGAGATCATAATATGGTAAGAAAATGTAATAACACAAACATTATAAACAATATATGGATAACAATGAACTTGCAGTTAAGACAATGAAGTCATAAGATACTGACATCACATTTTACACACTCATCACACACAAGGCTAGCAGTCGACTTAAATTACAAAAGCTCACATCCTCAAAATAAATAAACTTTGAACATTTTAAAACTGTTCCAGTTTTATTTAAAACGAATGGTACCAAAAACAAAATAAAAAGGTTCAATGTTTAGGATAAGAAAATTCTTTCCAAAGAAAATCATAACTTTTTAGGTCACCTGAGCTTTAGCTCAAGTGACCTATTGCTATCCGTTTTCGTCCGTCGTCGTCCGTCGTCCGTCGTCCGTCGTACGTCGTCCGTCGTCCGTCGTCCGTCGTCCGTTAACATTTTACATTTCAAACTTAAAGTCAAGTTCTGCTGGGCCGATTGAACTGAAAGTTGATAGGAATGATCGCCTCATGGTCCTGACAAAGTGTTGTTATTTTTCGGGTCGATCAGAAATCCAATATGGCCGCCACGGCCGCCATTTTGAAAACCTATTTCAAACTTAAAGTCAAGTTCTGCTGGACCGATTGAACTTAAAGTTTGTAGGAATGATCGACTCATGGTCCTGACAAAGTGTTGTTATTTTTCAGGTCAATCATAAATCCAATATGGCCGCCACGGCCACCATTTTGAAAACATATTTCAAACTTAAAGTCAAGTTCTGCTAGGCCGATTGAACTGAAACTTTGTAGGAATGATTGACTCATGGTCCTGACAAAGTGTTGTTATTTTTCGGGTCGATCAGAAATCCAATATGGCCACCACGGCTGCCATTTTGGTAAACTATTTCAAACTTAAAGTAAAGATCTACTTGGCCGATTGAACTGAAACTTTGTAGGAATGATCGAATCATGGTCCTGACAAAGTGTTGTTATTTTTCGGGTCAATCAGAAATACAATTTGGCTGCCATGGCCGCTATTTTGCTACTAAGTTCTAATAGGCCGATCTCACTTAAAATTGGTCTAGGAATGATCAGCTCATGGTCCTGACAAAGTTAAGTTAACATTATACTATTTTTTACTCAAATTGGTACATATTTCAACAACAAAAATAAATACTATAGACTCAGGTGACCGTTAAGGCCCATGGGCCTCTTGTTATATATGATTACCACAATTTGGAAACCAAATAAAGTCAACTGGTATAATTAACCTGTAGAATTACAATTCTGCTGCTCATGCCTATTCTTTAATTTTTGGGATGTTAAAATAACCGACAAAACAATATTCAATTTTCTATGTTTGATGGATAAATTTGCAAAAGAGATAAATTAACCTGTTTAAATATTAAAACTTAACATTAGCATAATGAAATGGACAAATTTTAAGTATTTAAAAGTAAATGGTGCGATAATAATTAAAAGGACTAGTTTGTTCAAGGAACAGTTGCCATGATACATCAGGTACAAAAATAAGATTTTATTTTCAAATAAGAAGAAATTTCTATCGTTCCATCATAATCTGGGCATAAGACATTCTATCAAAATCTGAGAGAACGAGATATCTTATAAAAATCGGGGGATAATAGATTCTATCATAAAGCAGGGGACAAGAGACTGTCAAAGTAGGGGAATAAGTTATTCTACAAAAATCGAGGATAAAAGATTCTGTCAAAATAGGGGAATAAGTTATTCTACAAAAATTGAGGATAAAAGATTCTGTCAAAATAAGGGAATAAGAGATTCTATAAGAATTCGAAGAAAAGACAAGTTCTATCAAAATCGGGGCGAATAGGAGATTTTATAAAAATAGGGTGATAAGAGATTCTATAAAAATCTGGGGATAAAGAATTCCTTTATAATCAGGGATTAAGAGAATCCTCCATCAAAAAGGGATTAAAAGGTTGATTATATCATAATTGGAGGACAAGAGAATCTTGTCATAATCAAGAGATAAATGATTTTTTTTTCATATTCTCAGGCGCAACAGATTCTATTATGATCAGGGGAATAGGAATTTTCAAAATAAAAAAGAGATTCTATTATTATCACACCTGATTATAAAGATATATCAAAATTAGCAGTTGAGAAATGTCTTAATAATCGGTGAATAAGAGATTCTAGTTTAAATTAAGGGATCAAAAGATTCCTTTGTAACCAATGTTTACAAAATTTCTGGTGTAGTTTACATTTACCGTCATCTTTATCATTTTTATTGAAACTGGTCTCATAACTGACATTAAGCTGTGACGATGTACTGTAGTCAGACACTGGTCACTACAGGACCCTGGTCACTCAATAACTGGATGCTGGTCGCTACTATCATATTTTACCGGCAAAAAGCCCCCTCTCGCAAATAAGCCCCCTCCCCACTTTGGTAAATGTCCTGGGAACAGGGTGGGTGGGTGCCTGCCATTAAGCTCCNGAGAGAAAAAAACGAAAGTACTAAACATTAGTCACTACTGTACTGGACACCGGTCACTACTGCTAGATATTGGTCATTACTGCAGCCAGACAACTGCCAATACTGCAGCTAGACATCGAGAAATCAATCACTTTTGCCACCAGAAACCAGTAAGAACTTGTCAAACATCAATCATTGCTTGGCAAGACATCGGTCAGCACAGACTGGACACGACTAAATGAGTTACTATAAGACATCGGTCAGCACAGACTGGACACGACTAAATGAGTTACTATAAGACATCGGTCAGCACAGACTGGACACGACTAAATGAGTTACTATAGTATGAGGTACAGTAGTTATCGCTCATGAGCACCAAACAGATTCGCGCGTACAAGCTGCAGGCCTTGTAGGCGCGGATATACAGATGTTTGGTACATTTCTCTGTATTTACTGATGTGTGGTCCCCACTCCAAAGTTGGCTGTGTCAATTTCCAAATACGCTGGAAAATAAAGCATTCAGGAATGTTAGCAAAAACAACTATATCACAACCAAATGAAACTTTTAGGAATATACATTTTCTTTGTCTTAATATTTAAAAAATTAAAATAAATTAAATTAAAATAAAACTATATTATTAAATTTTTCTGAGAAGTGCAAATAACCTGTGTCTACGGATCATCAAACAATTTTCAGTTTAATCTCACCAATTTTGTTACAGATGATTTAATCACATTCATAAGAAGCAAGTGACTTTAGTTTACAGGAAAATAAACCTGACTAATAAACATGAACATTTGTCGACTCATAGACTTTACACCATGGCCAGGCTTGAAGTCATTACTTTACATTTTAAATTGTAATTTGTGTATGAGTAATTTCAACTTTTGATCAGCCTTATCTAACAATTTCCTGAGAGAGCGCTGTCACTACATTTTTTCTAAAACATAGAAGGTGTGAGTGTCCTCAACATTCACCAGCTTCTCAAGATAACTAGGTAGAATACATTCTCTCATTTCCTTGTGTGTAAGGTAGAGCTGTTCTCTCATTTCCTTGTGTGTATCATAGAGCTGTTCTCTCATTTCCCTGTGTGTATCATAGAGCTGTTCTCTCATTTCCCTGTGTGTATCATAGAGCTGTTCTCTCATTTCCTTGTGTGTATCATAGAGCTGTTCTCTCATTTCCTTGTGTGTATCATAGAGCTGTTCTCTCATTTCCCTGTGTGTATCATAGAGCTGTTCTCTCATTTCCTTGTGTGTATCATAGAGCTGTTCTCTCATTTCCCTGTGTGTATCATAGAGCTGTTCTCTCATTTCCTTGTGTGTATCATAGAGCTGTTCTCTCATTTCCCTGTGTGTATCATAGAGCTGTTCTCTCATTTCCCTGTGTGTATCATAGAGCTGTTCTCTCATTTCCTTGTGTGTATCATAGAGCTGTTCTCTCATTTCCTTGTGTGTATCATAGAGCTGTTCTCTCATTTCCTTGTGTGTATCATAGAGCTGTTCTCTCATTTCCTTGTGTGTAAGGTAGTGCTGTTCTCTCATTTCCTTGTGTGTATCATAGAGCTGTTCTCTCATTTCCCTGTGTGTATCATAGAGCTGTTCTCTCATTTCCCTGTGTGTATCATAGAGCTGTTCTCTCATTTCCTTGTGTGTATCATAGAGCTGTTCTCTCATTTCCCTGTGTGTATCATAGAGCTGTTCTCTCATTTCCTTGTGTGTAACGTAGAGATGTTCCCTCATTTCCTTGTGTGTAACACAGAGCTGTTCTCTCATTTCCTTGTGTGTAACGTAGAGATGTTCCCTCATTTCCTTGTGTGTAACATAGAGCTGTTCTCTCATTTCCTTGTGTGTAAGGTAGAGCTGTTCCAGAAGGTACACTACGTAAGGACCCTACCTACACTGGACCAGCGTTTACTTTTCTCCTCTTTTGTTACAATTTTTCTAGTGTTTATTTGACATGAGTGGTCTATTCACTAGAGGTTGTTTTTGATAACAAACACATACATCTCCCCTTATTGGCCAATATACATACATTGTATCTGTTTTACAATTATTTGACCTTTTACCTAGAGGTTAAAGTCACAATGACATCCTCTGTGGATGATGAAGCTATTGTTCAAGTTTCATTAAAATATCTTCAATAGTTTAATTTTTACATCCATGACAAAATTTACTGAAAATTCTGCACTTATTTGTAATTGCCATATACTGCAAACCTCTTTGATGTTCTAGAATTTTTGCTCTTGCTTTACTTTGACCTTTAAGGTTCAGGTCACAGTGACCTAATTACAGCACAATGCACACATTCAGTGGGTAATGCACATTCATTTAAAAGGTTTATCAAGAAATCTTTCAAGGATGAAAAGCTATGGTCTGGACGAGATATCACTTGCTACTTGACCTTTGACCTTGATTTGAAGGTAACAGTGACCGTATTTCTGTGCAGTGCTTACTTCCTTGGGGTGATGCAGGTACAGGTTGGATTTCCTCAAAACATCTGTAACGGTTTGAAAGTAATGGTGGGGACAAGATTTTTACTGGAAATTTTGCACTCAATCAACATTTGGCCTTGGTATGAAGGTCACAGTGACCTAATTAAAGGTGGCAATGCAGGTATACTTCAAGTTTCATCAATGATGTCCTAGTTAGGGGGGATTTACATGTATCCATAAGTTGTCATGTCATTCTAAGGTAGCATACATCCTTAAGTCTTGAAATCACAGTATGGTAGCATACATACTTAAGTCTCTAAGTCACAGTAAGTTAGCATACATCATTAAGTCTTGAAATAAGTCTTCAAATCACAGTAAGTTAGCGTACATCATTAAGTCTTGAAGTCACAGTAAGTTAGCATACATCATTAAGTCTTGAAGTCACAGTAAGGTAACATACATCCCTAAGTCTTGAAATCACAGTATGGTAGCATACATACTTAAGTCTCTAAGTCACAGTAAGGTAGCATACATCCTTAAGTTTCTATGTCACAGTTAGTTAGCGTACATCCTTAAGTCTTGAAGTCACAGTAAGTTAGCGTACATCCCTAAGTTAAGTCACAGTAAGGTAGCATACATCCTTAAGTCTTGAAGTCACAGTAAGGTAGCATACATCCTTAAGTCTTTAAGTCACAGTAAGGTAGCATACATCCTTTAGTCTTTAAGTCACAGTAAGGTAGCATACATCCTTAATATCTTTTCAAGTATGACAGATGAACTAAAACCAATATATGGCTAAAATTCCTGTTGGTATAGATGTGACTAAAAACAGTAGCATTTCTTTGCTTACATACTTACGTTTACTATTGAACCTTTAGCCTTGACTATCTGTGATACCATGAGAACAGGTACTGGAATTATGGGTATCACAGACAGGAGGAGGCCAAAAGCTCGTGCACTTCCCGGGTAATGATAGCCTTCATATGTAGGGGGCTGGTAGTTTATCATTGTTGCTATGAATGCAATCTGAAAATACAAGTTTTAGAACCAAAATAATCATTAAAGAGAATATTCCAGAAAAAATGCAGAAGGGGGTGGGGCAGGGGGGTAGTTATTTTCTGTGAGACCACCAACAGTCACAATTATTTTTTCTGTGGCCTACTATGCAAATGCTCACAAATAATTAAGACCCCGCTCCACTATCCATGTGTTTCCAGGCTAAAATGCTCGATTGGGAATGTCTTCCCCAAAGATATCCATTTTTAACAAGAGGCCCAGGGGCCTTAATAGCTCACCTGGTATTTTATTTCAAGATTCTTTTGTCCCTAAGCATGCTTCAGACAGCATTTGGTTTAAATCCCTTCACTTGTACAGTAGGAGAAAAAAATTCCTCCATTTCCCCTATTGGCCCCTGCCCTCCGTCCCCCAGGGGGGGGGGGGGGGGGGGGGGGCGGGCAGCATACCCTCAGTTTATACAAACTTGAGAGGCCCCTTTGTCCAAAGATGCTCTAGAACAAATTTGGTCAAAATCCTTCCATTGGTTGAGAGGATTTACCTATTTTCCCCTGCCCTTCTGCCCTAGGGGGGAGGGGGGAGACACATCTTCCATTTATACAAACTTGATGGTCCTTTGTCCATGGACGCTCTATAACATTTTTTTTTTAAATACTTCTATTGAGAAGGAGAAGATTTTTGAAGATTTATCTATTTTCCCTCTATTTGGCCCCACCCCTTTGCCTCCAGGGGGGGGCATACCCTCTGTTTATAAAAATATCGAGAACCCTTTGTCCAATGATGCTTCACTACAAGTTTGGTCAAAATCCTTTGAGCTGTTAAGGACTAGTAGTGTTTTAAAAGAAAAGGTTGCTGGACGCCGTGCTACGGCATAATATAAGCTCACTTGGCCCTTTGGGTCAGGTGAGCCAAAATTTTGTATTGTGCCGGTAAAAAGGTTTCTGTTTCACCGTTACAGTTTTTAGCAGTGGTTCATGATCAGTGTACATACCATCATTATGAGCGGAATGATAACACACCAACAGTGTACATACCATCATTATGAGTGGAGTGATAACACACCAACAGTGTACATACCATCATTATGAGAAGAATGATAACACACATCATTATCATGAGTGGAGTGATAACACACCAACAGTGTACATACCATCGTTATGAGTGGAATGATAACACACCAACAGTGTACATATCATCATTATGAGTGGAGTGATAACACACCAACAGTGTACATACCATCATTATGAGTGGAGTGATAACACCAACACTGTACATACCATCATTATGAGTGGAATGATATCACACCAACAGTGTACATACCATCATTATGAGTGGAGTGATAACACACCAACAGTGTACATACCATCATTATGAGTGGAATGATAACACACATCATTATTATGAGTGGAGTGATAACACACCAACAGTGTACATACCATCGTTATGAGGGGAATGATAACACACCAACAGTGTACATACCATCGTTATGAGGGGAATGATAACACACCAACAGTGTACATATCATCATTATGAGTGGAGTGATAACACACCATCAGTGTACATACCATCATTATGAGTGGAGTGATAACACTCCAACAGTGTACACACCATCATTATGAGTGGAGTGATAACACAACAACAGTGCACATACCATCATTATGAGTGGAGTGATAACAACAGTGTACATACCATCATTATGAGCAGCGTGATAACACACCAACAGTGTACATACCATCATTATGAGTGGAGTGATAACACACATCATTATTATGAGTGGAGTGATAACACACCAACAGTGTACATACCATCATTATGAGTGGAGTGATAACACACCAACAGTGTACATACCATCATTATGAGTGGAGTGATAACACACCAACAGTGTACATACCATCATTATGAGTGGAGTGATAACACACCAACAGTGTACATACCATCATTATGAGCAGAGTGATAACACACCAACAGTGTACATACCATCATTATGAGCGGAGTGATAACCCCCCAACAGCGTACATACCATCATTATGTGCGGAGTGATAACACACCAACAGTGTACATACCATCATTATGAGTAGAGTGATAACACAACAACAGTGTACACACCATCATTATGAGTGGAGTGATAACACACCAACAGTGTACATACCATCATTATGAGTGGAGTGATAACACACAAACAGTGTACATACCATCATTATGAGCGGAGTGATAACACACCAACAGAGTAAATACCATCATTATGAGTGGAGTGATAACACACCAACAGTGTACATAACATCATTATGAGTGGAGTGATAACACACAAACAGTGTACATACCATCATTAAGAGCGGAGTGATAACACACCAACAGAGTAAACACCATCATTATGAGTGGAGTGATAACAACAGTGTACATACCATCATTATGAGGGGAGTGATAACACACCAACAGTGTACATAACATCATTATGAGTGGAGTGATAACACACCGACAGTGTACATACCATCATTATGAGCGGCGTGATAACACACCAACACAGTCGGATTATAACAGGGACATCATTATGAGAAGAATGATAACACACATCATTATCATGAGTGGAGTGATAACACACCAACAGTGTACATACCATCATTATGAGCGGCGTGATAACACACCAACACAGTCGGATTATAACAGGGACGGGTCTACCCATCATCAGTTCTACGTCCCTACTGAAACGGTCCGCCCCTAAAACACAAAATACCAACTAATTTTAAAGATATTTTACAGAAAAACTAAGAACATTTGTATGAAAAGAAAACGTAATTTTTCAGCCATATTTGTCAGCCAGTGACTGTTATTGACCTGAAGTCACATAGGTCCTCCATTACATTTACATAGTGTCTTAACTATATCAGTTACATTAGAATAAACACTGGCACAATTAACCCTTGATTACATTATATAATGAACTAATCCGAAACGTTATACATGTATATCCTTTACACGTGTTACATATATCCACGATACACATAGATTACCACTCCCTTGTGAGTACACAAGTACTTGTAAATTTGAAACAAACTTGTTATATATAGGATCTTACATGAGTTTCCATTTCATATGAAATTTGTGAAACGAGTCTAAGAATTTTTCAATTTAGCGAGCCTCTGGCGAGCTAAAATGAAAACTCTGTGACGAGTTTCATTAATTTCATATGAAATGAAAACAAGTGTAAGACAACTTTTATCAAGTAACAAACATTTGTGGCATTCATTCGTGTAAAACGACAATTTTCATGCAACCTTGCAATGTTAAAAGTCGCTATTTTGACTCGAGTGCATAAGGCTGTGAGTTTATGACGTCATGTTCTTGTCCTAGGCGTGACATCATAATTGAAACAATTAAAGCTTACAACCAATCACAGGGCTGATAAATCATATTACATGGGTTAATATGCCAAAAAATTATGACATGGGTATATTCACTGGATAACAAAGTACATTATGTGATATAAAATAATTTCTGACCATTTCGATGCGAACCTATGTATGCAGTTTTTAACCTTTTACCATTCAGTTGCCTTTGAGTGTATTCAGTTTGGTGTCGTCAGGCCCAATATGACTTCACTATTGCAAGGCCATTAAGCAACTATTAACTAGCCAACTATTTAACATAAAAAAATCATTATAAAAACCCCTCCTAATCTGCTAATCAAACAAGGAAATACTGATCACAGTTATAAGATATTTAGATTGTAAGTGAGTAGTGATTATATTACCGTAGAGCCATCCCACGATGAAACACTCCAGGAAACAGGTAAGTAGGACACACAGTGAGGCAGCGTACCAGTCGACAAGCTGGAAGATGTACATCCCTCCCTGTAGAGCAAACAAAATCAACACAATCATATTATCGGTCATTTCCTCGTAATCAGGGGGGTTATAATATACCTGGAATGTATTACAATATATTGCATTACAGAAGGAATGTATTTCAATATGCAGATCTCAACTTAAAATCATTACTGTCTCAGCCGATCATAGGCCATGGTGGCCATCTTGAATTCTTACAATTAAAAGTTGTCCATAGGATTGAAGTATATCCTCAATGTATCATTCCTTGAACATTTCATTGCAATTGGTCACATAAGATTGGAAAATTTGTTTTTGGTGGAAAAAAAGCTGAAACCAAAATATTCGCTACGCAACTACATGATGTGCAGATTATTCTTATAACAAAGTTTTGTTGAAATTAGATTGTTGTGTTAGGCAGAGTTGTCTGGACAGAATTTCATTTCCCAGACAGATGGACAAGCTGTTACCAGTATAGCTTCTGTAATTTTGTTGTAGGAGTATAAATACATAGCATGATAAACAGAATAAAAGCAGCGAAGGTGTAGTTATTATGTTGTACGTACATTAGTGGTGAACGGTAATCCAAGAATAAACAGCACAAGTGATAGAGCAGCCGTCAGCAGGACCTTACGCTTGCCGAGCTGACGAGGAAACGCATCCACCAGTCCACTGGACACCGTCTCAAATGTACCGAACTGTGAAGGAATCAACACAAAGCTACCGTGTACATTTTACCTCTAAATTCCTGATCATAGTATTAACCACTGAATATCTTTTACTGTTCCAGAAATAACCATATAGGAGGGATGGGAGGCACTTTTACAGAGACCTTACCACCCATCAAATATAGGAGGGGATCGATGGGAGGCACTTTTATAGAGACCTTACCACCCATCAAATATAGGAGGGGCGGGGAGGCACTTTTTTAGAGACCTTACCACCGATCAAATATAGGAGGGGTGGGAAGCACTTTTACAGAGACCTTACCACCCACCAAAAAGGAGGGGTGGGGAGGCATTTTACAGAGACCTTACCACCCATCAAATACAGGAGGGATGGGAGGCACTTTTATAGAGACCTTACCACCCACCAAATACAGGAGGGATGGGAGGCACTTTTATAGAGACCTTGCCACCCATCAAATACAGGAGGGATGGGAGGCACTTTTATAGAGACCTTGCCACCCATCAAATACAGGAGGGATGGGAGGCACTTTTATAGAGACCTTACCACCCATCAAATATAGGAGGGATGGGAGGCACTTTTATAGAGACCTTACCACCCATAAAATACAGGAGGGATGAGAGGCACTTTTATAGAGACCTTACCACCCATCAAATATAGGAGGGGTGGGGAGGCACTTTTTTAGAGACCTTACCACCGATCAAATATAGGAGGGGTGGGAAGCACTTTTACAGAGACCTTACCACCCATCAAATATTAAAAGTTATTTTATTATTGGTAATGGTTAAGGCAGATTTGGTTTTAAACCCACCACCCATTATACATGTATATTAATATGTGTGCCTCCCACCTCCCCATACGATAAACTATGGAATTGCCCTAAGAAAATCCTGCCTGATGCTTCAGGCTCACCATATTTTTAACAAGTTTTAGACAGATGGTATTACATTTTTACATGCGCAAGTAAAACACTGTATCTATATATTCATGTTTACTGGTGAAATTAGCATATCCTTTAAGTAAAATAACATTTTTCTAACTAGTAATTAATTCTATGTAATAATACATAATAATATAGCAAATTTTCTATGAAACAGATACATTTAACTTGTTGTTGTTCTATTTACTTGTTCTTACCTGACTGTCGATGCCAAGGGCTAACAACATCAGGAAGAATAGTACAGCCCACAGCTGGGGGAAGGGTAGCTTTGTGATAGCCTCTGGGTAGGCTACCAATGCCAGGCCTGGTCCTACAACAATTAACAAGGGGAGATAATGAGTAGAATTCTTGAGTAGATAATGCCAGGTATAAATCTCAAGCTTTTTTCCAAAGTTAAGGATCCCTGTCCCACTGCACTTAAGTTATCTAAACATACAGTGACCTCCCCTGAACTTGGTTCTGGCTATAACTATAACACAGCTTTGTAAGGACACTTCAGTGGATCAGGTAGCTTCGTTGGTCAGAGCGACAGTATAACAATTTGAAGACTAGGGTATGAATCCTGTTATTCCCGCTGATTTTTTACACTCCGAACTGTTGGTGATTATATTTTTCTTTATTTCACCATAATTATTTTTTCATAAATGTCATCCCAAAGTATGGTTTTCTTTTCAGAAATGATTTATCAAAGCTATACTCCTGGTGGAAAAACACAATTTCCAATGCATAGATGCCGTTATTGGCTGTGGTACAGGGATCCTTAACCCTTTCACCCCTAGGTAACTTTAGTAGACTCTGCCATACATTCAGCTGAATGAGTCAATTATGGTTTACAGTGGTGAAAGGGTTAAAAATTCCCCAAAGGAAAAATGTTGCTTAACTTCAGCTAAAGGACACTTGTGAAACCTGAGGCCAAGTTATTTCACATACAAGGGGAGATAATACACATAAATCAACAATGTTTAAGGATCCTTTTGCCACTGCAGGTATAATGGTAGTTTTCTGTCATAGTAACCTCCCCTTAATTTCCCATAGGATAGTATGGTTTGAACCCTGGCGAGGTCCCAGGGCCCGTCTCAGAACAGGTTTTTTTTTCTTCATTTTTACCATTTTTTTCAGTACCACAACTTATTAGCTTCTTTGCATAAATGATTTTTTAAAGCTATTGTCATGTCTGTAAGATAGTTTCAAATTAGTTGCTGTTTATGGCAGTGGTGCTGTGATCCTATAAATATTGAAATCAGTCAGAACCACTCCTAAAATATTGAGCAAGAAATGGTCACCAAGCTAATCAGTAATCAAACAACATGATCTATAGTTACTAATAAACGAAGACAATAGATATATCCTGATACGATGATAGTCGATTTAAACGGACCTGATGTAGCAACTTCATTGATCGGTAGCTTAGACTCATACGCCATGTAACCAAGGACGGAAAAAATCACAAATCCTCCGTAGAAACTTGTGAGAGCGTCGGCCATACTGCCAATGATGGCGTCCCTGCCGTAAGAAACGGAAATACAATTTTAAAAGCAATTAGAATCGTCACATTTACTGTGGATACGTCCCCCTATCCCATTCCCACACATTCAAAATTGGATAAAGGTGCAATTCTCTCAATAGGATAGAAATTTCCTACACCCCTTTCTTACCGTGGACAGCGCTATCTTATAATTACACACACGGAAATCAGAGAAAAAAAATAAGTACACTTTCAACTATTTTTTGTATTGTTTTTGGTATATTTGACAGAAATATCCCACTAAAGTCAGGGGTTGGGAAGTGATTGCATGTTGAAATACTCATTTTTTCTTTTTAAAAATCAAAACCTAACCCCTAACCCCTCCCCTCCTTTCTCTTGAGCACCATTTGACTTTGACAAAATTCTTTATTTGAACTTGGCACAACTTACCCTTCTCCAAAACTATAGTGAAATTATACACAATTATCATATTTTTTATATCATGAAGTAAGGAAAATTATGCTGTCCCACATTTTCATAGTGTAGATAATGCAACTATCAAGTGGTACGAATCAAACCGATAGAAAGCCAGCCAAACACGATCACATAAACCCAAGAGAGTTATCTGTGAACTAGTTGCGGCTAGACCTAATTGTATGAGTGTTATAACCTATGCGCTGACGAGGGTAACACACTTTAATATTTCAGCTTACCTCAGACAGTTATTTGTGAACTTGTTATAACTAGACATGGTTATAAGTCCTCCCCAGGCCGGGCCAAGAGAATAAAATACCTGTATTCCAGCCTCCAGCCATACCTACGGCAAATACCAAACACAAAAAACTTGTTACGATTGTGATAACTCTCAATGTAGTAATTTTGGAGAGCATTTTTTCAGTAATTCTGAATTTTTCACACTTGAACAAAACATCTCATTAATTTTTTTTAAATCATTTGAAATTATTCCATAACCAGAAATTCATTTTGGCTTCTTAAAAGGGTTTAAATACAGCAAACTCCAAAAGAAGTGATTTAAAAATGTCCTTATCTTGTTTTGAGTACCTCACCTGGAATTCCAGAAGTCTTTTGAAGTCTGGCGTGAGATAGAACATAATACCATCGACCGCCCCAGGTAACAGAAGTCCGCGTATCAGGAAAATCGTCAACAAGACATACGGCAGAAGGGCAGTGACATAAACAACCTGGGAAGTAAAACAACAGATCACCTTATCTATGATACAGCAAGGAGGACTAGTACATAGAAAGGAGGCAGAGTGGGTTCTGGACCCATTTCTGGTTTGGAACACTGTGTGTGAAATCACTAATTTTCGTGGGTTTTAATTTCGGTGATTTTGTTGATTACCATTTCAGAAATCATAGGTCCACAAAATAATTGCAAGTTTGATACAAAGCAATTCTCCATTTGAGTGGGTACTCTTAATCCATGAATTCATGTACCCCATAAACTGTTATTTTTGGGGGAAACCACGAAATTTGGGCCTCTCGAAATATAACCTGGAAATCTGTATTCACAGATGACTTACTGTTACATGTACTGCCATCTTTGAAAACCAAGGGTTACGAACTTGACCTCATTCAGCCATAAAAAAACAACTGCACTGAACACTCCCCACTTTTTATATAACCTGTTAATGTTAGCACTGCATGATTCACAAATGGAGTCTTTTTCAAATTAAACGTGGTTCTTTAACATAGTTCAAATGGAGCTGTTGAAATACAAAGGGTTTAGATTTGGCAGTGGATAGCACACTTTCCTTTCACCAAGATGAGTGGGGCTCGATCCCCCGATTGGACATGTAAAAGAATGTGATAACCTGCCCGACAATGTTGGTTTTCTCCAGGTACTTCCGTTTCCTTGCTCCATTATTAAGACCCCCGGCATACAACTTGTGGGCCAACAAGAGTGATTAAGATACGTTCATATAACTTGTTTCATAATGGTTGTGAAAAATAAAGTTTACATAAATTATAAAGTGGGGTTCTTTTGAAATTCTTTACTTCAAAAGTATTGGAGGATAACATCAAGGCAAACCCTGCCTTCATATTGACGGCATGAAAAATGGGTCCCACGCCGCGAGACATTTTGGAAGGCTATTTTTCGTGAGTCTCACGCCAAAATCTTTAGATATGGCATGTATGTGTTGTACATATACCACTTGTTATAAATGGGCAATTTTTCTCCATACGTGACCTGTAAAGTTTTTTTTATATGACAAATCAACAAGGTTAGAAAAATGAGAAAAACTGTATATCTAAATGGTTGAATATGATTTATACTTTAGTATATTTTCGATATTTTTCTATAGCTAGTTATGATGGAGTACATTATAGTCACCTTGCCAACCGATTTCACACCCTTCATCAGGCAGAGGAATACAAGGACCCAGGCGGCAGCCAGCGCCAGAACAAGGTGCCACCGTATACCACCGAGGTCAGCGAAGCCTGAGGAAATCTGTAGGACATTCAATCTGTAAAACAAAACTATAGTCAGAGCTTTGTACATCACCTATATCTCCCAGACAGCTCAAAGTCACTTAACTGAGTGAAAGATTGGGACATTTTTTTGCTGACTATTCTCTAATGGAATGAATCGGTTCAACTGTCAAAATTGATTATCAGTTGCACATGACTGATAGATGATTGATTATAAACCCTTTGATATTTTAAATATGAATAAACCAAGTTACTGTAAAAACCTGTGTAATTTGCGCACTTTTTTTCGAGAAATTTAATGCACAAAGTTAGGGGTGCGCAAAATACATAAGTGTAAGCAATTTTAAGGGGTTTCTTTCAAGAAAAGATTGATGATTCTGGCAGACCGCCATCTTGGACACAAGAGATAATCTCCCTTGGTGCACGGAACTCAAAGACAAACGACGATCAACACATTTATTTATGTCAAACATCAATAAAGAATACATGTATGTATGTATTTATTTTGTTGAAAATAAATCTGAAATAAATGTATTACATGTAAATTGTAGTTACAAACATTTGGAAATTTTAAATATGGACATTGGCATCATTAATATAACTAAATACTGAACACAAATGGTCATAAATCCTGTTCTTGTCTGTGAACTGTAAATTGCCTCTAAATAAACTAGTTTTTATGAAGATTTCTACTAGTTAAAGTATTTCTGAGACTCTTGTTGAGTCTTCAAGTCTACAATCGCTTATAATAAGTGTCTTTATCAAGCTATAGGTATATGATGAAGATTGAACAGTTTTCATTTTACAACTACAGCCCAAGCATTATTATAAAGACTCAACGACTGCCCAAATTTAGGGGAATACATTTTATTAATTGTCATTGTGCATATTGAACAACTTTCATTCGACGAATTTACAAACTTACTGCCAAAATTCCTTGGCTGCTGTGACCGTGGTGTTAGAGGTATAATTCGAACCAATCACCAATGAAGTGTTAACCTCTACTGAGGTCAAATTATTCAGTAAGGTTCTACTGATGTTTATTTTGCCACGATCCTCGATACAGAATGGCGTGTTCCATGAGTTTGTACAGACGGCCCAGGGAAGCGGGTCGTAGAACGAGTTGACGAGATAGTAGATGACCCAGACGAGCACCATGATGTAGTACCAGGACATGATGAACGATACGATGACCATCAGATAGCCGAGACCTAGACAATTAAATACAATGTAATACAATTAACAGTGACCATCAGATAGCGAGGACCTGGACAATTAAATACAATGTAATACAATTAACAGTGACCATCAGATAGCCGAGACCTAAACAATTAAATACAATGTAATACAATTAACAGTGACCATCAGATAGCCGAGACCTAAACAATTAAATACAATGTAATACAATTAACAGTGACCATCAGATAGCCGAGACCTAAACAATTAAATACAATGTAATACAATTAACAGTGACCATCAGATAGCTGAGACCTGGACAATTAAATACAATGTAATACAATACAATTAACAATCATGACCAGCAATGAATCACCTGCAAGTTACATACTATCATTTATTGTGTTTTGTTTTAAAAATAAATAACTTCCAGTGTAAATTATCGATGCTTATTGTCATTTTTGTACATTTCAATGATGAAAGGTCACCTGGTGATAAGCTTCCTTGTTATACCGCCACCCTTGATATACCGCTAAAATTGATGTTATACCGCCACCCTTGATATACCGCTAAAATTGACCATAACGGAATGTGGCGGTTTAACAAGGTTGTACTGTATTAATTAACTCACCTTTGAAGAGTGGACAGAGTGACCACACAAACAGGGAACTGACACCAGAAAACTGACCGAGACATAACTCCATGAAGAACAGTGGAATCCCACAGAAAATCAGGAAGAAGAAAAATGGAATAAGAAAAGCACCTGAAAGAAAAATAATTTTACATATATATAAGCCATCAAGATAGGGGAGGTACCGGTAGTCTAACATATACTATGAGATGCTGAGATACTGTGAAATTATTTTTTAGTCCCTTAATTTAACAGACTTGCTAAAATGGTCATTTTTGTGGGATGTTTTTTTTTAAACAGATTTCAGGTCTATGGGCCATGTGACAAAGTCCTTTGGTAAGATTGGATAAATTACTTTCTATTTTGATGGGTTGTATTTTTAGAAACCCACCAAGTCCAGTTAGACTTTTTAGCAGGATGTTAAGTGGATTCCATCCTGGGATTCTTCATTGGGATACAATGATGCCTTAGATAGAAAACACTTGGAAAACTTGCAGAAAAGGACCCTAAATATGTTAATTTGTTCAGCTGGAGTCTATATATGAACTACAAATTTACCTAAAATATTTCATAGTATCTTTTGAAAATCCACCTAAATGTTTACCTAAAAGTTTACCTCAAATCCACCTAAACACTAACCGAAAATCTATCTAAAAGTCTACCTAACCTCCATCCAAATCCACCAAAACAACTACCTAAAATCCACTTTTCCAGCTAAATATTTACCTAAAATCCAACTAAAAGTCTACCTAAAAGTCTACCTAAAATACCCACCTAAAACCCATTCAAAATAAACCAAACAGAAAGACTTCCTGTTCTTGATAGCAATCTTAGAGCTGTAAGTAACTAATCCCCTTTAGATAAAGGATCTGACCAAAGCTGCGTCAGTGTATAGTGCACTTTCAATTCATAACACATCCTCTGCTAAGGATTATAATTTTGATAAGATAACCCTGTCAATGTCATAAACAGCCAAACAGTAGTGTAACCCTGTCGATGTCATAAACAGCCAAACAGTAGTGTTACCCTGCCGATGTCATAAACAGCCAAACAGTAGTGTAACCCTGTCGATGTCATAAACAGCCAAACAGTAGTGTAACCCTGTCGGTGTAATAAACACCCAAACAGTAGTGTTACCCTGTCGATGTCATAAACAGCCAAACATCAGTGTAACCCTGTCGATGTCATAAACAGCCAAACAGTAGTGTAACCCTGTCGATGTCATAAACAGCCAAACAGTAGTTAAACACTGCCAATGTCATAAACAGCCAAACAGTAGTTTAACCTGCCGATGTCATAAACAGCCAAACAGTAGTTTAACCCTGTCGGTGTAATAAACACCCAAACAGTAGTTTAACCCTGCCAATGTCATAAACAGCCAAACAGTAGTTTAACCCTGCTGATGTCATAAATAGCCAAACAGTAATTTAACCTGCCGATGTCATAAACAGCCAAACAGTAGTTTAACCCTGCAGATGTCATAAACAGCCAAATATTAGTTTAACCTTGTCGATGTCATAAACAGTCAAACAGTAGTTTAACCCTGTCGGTGTAATAAACACCCAAACAGTAATTTAACCCTGCTGATGTCATAAACACCCAAACAGTAATTTAACCCTGCTGATGTCATAAATAGCCAAACAGTAATTTAACCCTGCCGATGTCATAAATAGCCAAACAGTAATTTAACCCTGCCGATGTCATAAACAGCCAAACAGTAATTTAACCCTGCCGATGTCATATATAGCCAAACTGTAGTTTAACCTGCCGATGTCATAATCAGCCAAACAGTAGTTTAACCTGCCGATGTCATAAACAGCCAAACAGTAGTTTCAGTGCATCAGTGTGAATTTAAACTGACCATGCAACCACAGACCAGGATTCTGGACTGGCCACATATGTTTATATATCAAAGTAAAACAATCGGCCTAAGTAGAAATTTTAAGTTTGTTCTCCTACTAAAATGTTGTTAGATAGATTTTAGGTAGAGTTTAGTTAGAATTTTATATGGAGTTTTGCTTCAGACTAAGGTAGACTTTAGACAGATTCTAGGTCTACCAAAAGTTTCTCTATGAACCTGCCAGCTTAGGCGGATTCCTCCTGGAATACCCATTTTTCCAGGTTACTAGAATCCTCCAGAATTTCATCTAAGTGTTTTTTTCGTACAGGTCTTGACCTTTGGAAACATAGAGTGGACCTTTTAACCTTGAAAAATACAGAGTTAACCTTATAACTGACTTTTCAATCCTAATAAAAAAGACTAGCTGCTATGGAAAAAAATCTAATGTAAGTTGATCTTCTTCAATCTACCCTGAGTTGCATTGTTGAACTTCTACTTTCCTGGCCTCCCTTATGGAATTGCAGCACATTTACAGTCTAAATAAAGCCCAATAACAGCACAGAATTCCAGTACACATGCAGTGCAATTGCAATGCATTTGCAGCATGTGCAGCATTGCAGTGCATTTGTCATTAAACTGCTAAAATATTGAAGTTTTAGCAGCACATTATCAATGAAATTGCAGTGCATGTGCAGTATATGCTGTTATGCAGTGCATTTTCTTGGTTGTGCTGCAAATAGACTGCATTTTTGCAGTACAAATGCAGTGCAGTTACAGCACTTAATCAGCATATGCTGCAATACAGTATGTGCTGCAATTCCATAAGGGGTCTCTCTGGTTCCTCAAAAAATGATGGCAAAAGTAACTTATAAATGATTGACCTACACTTTACATTATGTGACCATGAGACATAGGGATAGGAATCAGTAACCTACCTCCACCGTTCCTCATACAAAGGTAAGGGAAGCGCCAGATGTTTGACACGCCGACAGAGTAGCCCACTATAGACAGAAGGAAGTCACACTTCCTTGTCCACGTCCCTCGGTGGTAATCTTGCGTCTCATCAAACTTATCCACTTCCTCCACGCTTGACAGTCTCAACTTCTCAACCTCTTCTTCTTGCTGTTGGGCCATGGTCTGAAACACAGAAGAAGAAAAAATCTAAGACCATTAGCACTTCCTTACAGGTCTGAAGAAGAAGATTTTTTGAAAAAAAGTATCATTCTCCCTTCTTTTCCTTAGACCAGTTTTTGCTTTTGTATCAGAATTTCATGCATCGTCCATCTGATTTTGTAACCAATTTCTCCATTCTGTCATGACATTGTTGGTCTCTTACTTGGAAAGTCAACAATGGCTTGGACTGTTTGGGGTCTTCCCAATATAAACGTGATTGATGGTATATCCAAATATTGTGCGTATGAGTATGTACATATCCTCATACTGGGTTAATATGAATGACAATTGTAATCAACGAATCCTTTATCAAATATACACCTAGAGACCATATTTCATCTAATAAGCACCCATACTCCTGCAAGTGTCTATCCACATCCCCTACTAGAAGAACATACAGTGTATTCTAATCATTTCACAAGTACCCTATTTATCCAGCAATAAGCCCATATGTCTGGTGATAAGCCCACCCATATATATATATATATTATAGTTCAGTAGCCAAATGGTATTATCTGTTAGACCCCTGGGTTTATAACAGGTTAAATATGGTATTCATGGGCTGTAATCAAAAGAAAACTTCCAGCAAAATATCTCTGTCCTGAAATTTTCCTTTTAGGACTTAAATGTGTTCTGAAACTACAGTGCAAACATACACTAATATAAACATACATACTAATGACAAGGACATGGACACCATTGTAAAACAATCTGGTCAGATAAAAAGACATATTTGTTTCAAAAACAGTTGTTATATATACATTGATGTACATGTAAAATGATGAAAATGGGGTGACATCAGTTACAATTTTCAGGATACATTATCTAAAACTGACAAACAGGATTATAAATAACGTACCTCAATGACCCCCCTGTCACACACCAGTCAACACATTACAGAATCACACAGTAGTTTTTCAAACAGACAGTACATAACCTTCTCTTAAGGATCCCTGTCCCACTACACTGCATTTTTCCCCCTATATACAGTTACCTCCCTTTAACTTCCATTTTAACTTGGAGCCCTTTCCACATTATTACACTCAAAACATTATCATGATTATAATCCCAGTCAAGTCCAGTTAAGTATGTTTTTCTTTTCAGAAATGATATATCAAAGCTATAGGCATGCCAGCAACACAGTTTCCAACACTTCGTTACAGTTTTTGACAGTGGAACAAGGATCCTTAATTTCGTTGAGAATCACATAGACAGCCTCAGTGACCATATTTTGATTGCAGTTTCATGGTTTGACGTCAGGCTCTTTGCATTTTTCCTGTCTGAACTACAGATTTTTATCAAAGTTCTGCAAGGTATTTCTTAGTTCTTCAAATACAAGAATGAGTTGTATTGAATTTATCCGGCAATAAGTCCATGTCTGGTAATTAAAGCCCACCAATATCTGTTGCAGTTCAGTGAAATCGGCAACAAATGTTGTTCGATAATCCTACATTCACTCATTCACCCCTGAAATTTCATAATAAACTATTTCAACCTTTGAATTTGAAGAGCTCATTAATGTGTCTTTAGGGGTAAATGAGTTAAGCTCCTTGCCTTTCCTGAATCAGAGATTTTGTATTGGTCCCTGGGTTTATAGGAGGATATATATGGTACTCTATATATATATAAACAACTGTGTCATATACCATATGTGCACCAATGCACACATGTACAGTACAAATATTTCGTGCAACTCCTGTACCAGGGCTAGTCACATTTTTACGGCATATAGAGATGTTGGTTTTTTTCCATTTGTCAGGTCATCCCAATTTAGTAAAATAACCTAGAGCGAGTCTGTATATCTCGTACTCCTGTTATCCTGCCATGCAAGTTTTTTTATTGTAGACATTCAAAGTTACAAAGTCTTGGCACTCCTTCTGAAATATATGTATTTCCTCATTTTTTGTCTTATTTCTTGTATTTGAATAAAACTTTTTAAGAGTAAAGATGAACATCATTGTAGTGTCTATTGAATAGTTCAGATCTGTATACGGTGTCACCTCTTTATGATACTAAAATCTAAAATATATCAAAAGATCAAATTTTACCTAAAACTGTTGACACAATGCCCCCNATAACTTGAGAATTTCTTCTTTCGAGATCATTTCTAAATAAAGGGGCATAACTCCTTTAAGACAAGTAAGTGCAAAAAACTTTTTAAACAAAGGGTCAAAACTACTTAAAAGGGGAAAGTAATTACAATTTATACATTTTATTGATATAACCTCAATGCATATGTAAGGTTCATTAAAATTGGTGCAGTACTTTGGGATGATTTAGATCAAAACCGCTTCTTTGTTTTTTGAAGAGTACCGTACAGTCTTCCAAAGGTTAATTGACATTTCCCCTTTTGGGCCATGTCCCTTTGGGAGCCCTTCATTTAGTGTAAACTTTATAGTATTGAACAGAGAGGGGAGCTTCAGCCCCTTCTGGAGTAAAGATTGTGAACCTCACTATCTGAGGACTACTTTATATATATGTGGGTCTAAATCTACCAGTACTCACAAAGCATTTAGCCACTTCTTGCATATTTATAAATAAATTGTCGTCCCCATTACAGACTGATGATCGCCACCAAACGTCCTTGAAATATGACAGAATAATTTTGAAGAAAAGCAAAACAATTCATTGCTTACTGAAAATGCATTAATGCACTTCAATTACTATTTTCTCAAAATTTACAATTTCTTTGTCCATGATATTTAAACATCATATAACAACAAGCTAGAGTTGGGCATTCATCAAAATGTCCATTCTTTTTAAAGTGTTACTTTAAAAATGTGTATGATAATAATAATAATAATATACAACATTTATATAGCGCCCTATATAATTTGTAAAATTACTCTAAGGCGCTTTACAACATATGGATAATAGTAATGGTAATAATTGTGAAAACAACCACAACAAAAGCTTGCAATCACATCATAGTTGGTAATATGAAAAAAAAATCTTTGAAGTCAAAAGCTTTAGAAGAGCAATTAACTGGTAAGAGATAATAAACTTGGTATATTTGATATTGTGGTGTATTTTTAGGCTGAGGTTGCAACCCACAGCTGTCACATGTAGCAACTATGTTGAGCATGCCTTTTTAATATGACACCCGACTCATATTACACAAATGAAATTCATTAGGCAAACATGCATCAGAAATACATTACCCAGAGCCATTGGACTTTGTACATATACCTGCAATGCTTTAAGGACTCGGATTCTACTCATTTGACCATGTGTGATCTTGAAAGTGGGTCAAGATCATCTACACGAACAAACTCATCTGAGCATGCTCTAACTGTCAAAATATCACCACCCTATGCTTTTTGGTTATTGAGAAGAAGTTGTTAAAAATATTTAAACGTTTTTAAGATATTTGCCCCGGTTACCTTGAATATATGTGAAGGTAATGCATTTGAACAAACTTGGTAGCCCTTATCATCCTAGCATGCTACTGGTCAAATATCATCATCCTAGCCTTGTCATTTTAGATATACGTATGCAGAAGTCTTTTAAATTATTAAACATATTTGACTCCTGTGACCTTGAAAGGGGGTCAAAGTCATTCATTTAAACAAGCTTAAGAAATATCATCATCCTGGTCCATTTGTTTATTTTGAAGAAGTCGTTTGAATTTTTAATATATTTGACACCTATATATACGAACATGAATATGGTTGAAGGTAATTCATTTTAACAAACTTAGTACCCCTTCAAATATCATGATCATTGGCCATTTGGTTATTCAGAAGTTGCTTAAAGTTTTTTTAAGATATTTGACATCTGTGACCTTGAAAATGGATAAAGGTCATTCATTTGAAACAAACTTGGTAGCCCTTCATCCCGGCATACTACTGGACATTTAATATCACAACCCATTTTGGTTATTCGAAAGCAGTTGTTTTAAGTTTTTAACATTATTAGGATAACTTTGTAGCCATTCAACGGCCGTGTAACAAGCCAAATATCATCACCCTGATCCTTTTGAATATTCAAAAGAAGTTGCACAAAGGTTTTTTTAAGACAACTGATACTGGTGATCTTGACTATGGGTGAAGGTCATTCAATTGGACAAACTTAGTAGCCCTTTATTTTTGTAAGCTACTGGCCAAATATCATCATCCTGGGTTGTCTTTGTTATTCAGCAGTAGTTACTTAAATGATTTAAAGATAATTGAACCCTGTGACCTTGAAAATAGATGAAGGTCATTTATTTGAACAAACTTGGTACAGTAGTCCTTCACCCCTGCATGCTGCTTGCCAAACATCTATTAAAGGTTGAAACATATTTGACCCCAGTGACCCTGAATAAAGCCAAGGTCATTCATTTGAACAAAATATCAGTTGTTTAAATGTTTTAAACATAATTGGCATAATTTAAGGCCATTCATTTGAACAAACTTGGTAGTCCTTTGTCCTAGCATGTTCACTGACCAAATATCATCTGCCTATGAATCCTACCAATTTGTAGTTGTCACAGCAAAGACATGAAATTCACCAACTACACTGACAACTACCTTAAATGTATTTTGTCCATGATGTAAAAGTATAATCAATGCATCAGTTGGCCCAAATGAGCATGACATATTGGGTCATACTTAACTGCAGTGCACTACTGACCCACTGAGAGCAAAACTTTAAATGGATATCCCCGTTAAATATGTTATTGAATTGGTAGACTCAATATTTTCTCAACATTTCATAAACAGATCTTAAGATGATGGAGATCAGAATCTATACTCAAGAAGGGGCTGACCTATCAGGGGGCCGAGGGGGTCAGAAAGTATGCATATATACACCCTAGGAAAAAATAACACTTTTAAAAAGCACATTTTGAGCTGTTCTTTCAGAAGAAATCAGCAGATCTTTGAAAATAGGAATAGTTTAACAAATTTACTGGTTGAAAATTCTCACTTTAGGGTCCAAAATCGGGAGTCTCCCTCCTATTTGGAAAGTTGGCAAGTATAGTA